AAACGCCAAATGCCTCCGGACGGGTCTTCTCATCAGGATAGCCCTCTGTCGAGCCTTGTACGTCACTGATATTGGTGGGTGTAGCGGCTTCAGACAGGACTTCCTGCATTGACAGGGCCGAGAGACCCATGTACTTGGATTCTCGTTTGGATCTTTTCATCTTACCTGTTACGCCGTCAGTTTCCGAGCCAGTTTGTGACTGCCACCATCGGCTGGCAGTTCGACCACGGGAACTGAGTTCGTCATTGCTCATACTGGCAATCGGTGAGAGTTCCGGGCGGTACTCTTTCGACCACATTTCCGCACGCTGGGTTGGATCGGCCCGAATCCCGTGCATAGGTGATCGCATTCTGCCTGGCGTGGCAGCACATGTGTCAGTAGGACCGTTCGTCCCAAGCTCACTAAAAAGCCGCTGCGTGGCTTCCTCCGGGTTGAAGGTCCCATCTGCAAACGGAGTTGGACAGCGCTGCCGCCGGATCATTGACTCCTCGACGATGTATTCCATGAAGAGTTGCAATTTCTCAAACTCAGAGTTTGCTTGGCTCTCCTTTACGAGGAAATGTTGATGTCGCCGCGAAGCTTCTTGCATAAAGAGATCGTATTCGACTTGGGCGAGTTCGGACACTGAAGACGCTGTCGAAGGGAGAACGCTGTGCGCAGAAGTGGGGTTCTTTTGACTCAGTGGTGGTGTAGGCAACGACTTTGGCAGGACAAGTGGCGTTCGTGTTCGGCTACTCCTCCTCGACAGGGCTGGAGGAAACGGGGAATCAAGGGGTTGGTATTCAGCATCGCCGCCCCGGAGCCGACTCCTGGTCCTGCTACTGGTCCGCAAACCTCTTCGGGCAGTTTCCGGGGAGTCTTGTTCCAAGGCCAATGTGCCCAATGTTGGTGAGTGTTCAGGACTGATACCAGTTGGACTCAAACTGCTGAACCAAGGGTCAGTGTCTATGGTCAAGGCACTGAAATCGGACAATTGACCCTCGTGAAGACTTCGACGTTGCTTCCGACGTTCCAGCAGACCCTTAGCAGAAGAAACACGGAGAGCAGCACTCCTGGTCAAACCTGTGGGTGCAAAGTCCTCACGGTCGAGGTTTGTCGTCTCAATATGTAGCGGCATCGGCGTTCTGGAGCTGGATCGATGAGAAGATTCATCCCTCCAATTTGCAGGTGTAGGAGGCATAGGACTAAGCAGAGGCGCATGCAATGGGGCGCGATGACCTGATCGACTGTTGACTCCAGTGGCCTGTGGTTGAGCAAGAGTTCGACCCGATCCTGCACTGTGTGATCTTGAGGCTGAAGGTGGTGGCCCCGGAGGCGGACCAGGTAATGGCATCCCCGGAACCCAGCTTCTCTGCTTGGAAGATGATCTCGATGAAGACCCCTCTTGATTCTGAACTGACGACGGTTGGGAAGAACAGGCATCCGCGGATGCGGCTCTTCTCGATGCTGGCGCAGCCGGGACTTGTCCAAGGTTGCCATCAAGTGGTGGATATAGAGGTAGCTTTTGTTGTGCGGCCACGGTATTTATTGATAAAGTGGTCCCCGTAGGATGTCTTGAGACACCCACAGTAGAGTTTGGCCGTGATCCAAGCTGCTGCGAGGGAATACTCACGCGGCTCTGGTGGTGGTCGAAACCAGCAGATCGCCCTGGCGGACTGAAATACTTCAATCCACTTGTATCGCTAACGGTCTGGCAACTATCACCTAGAGAATGAGAGCCTTGATTAAGTGGCGACAACACTCCGGCAGTGCTAGTCGGGGTGTTTATCTGGGACTGATTTCCAGGAGCTGTAAACGTCGAGTCTGCAGGTGATATGGTTGACCCAGCACTGGTGGCTTCACGGACAGCAACACCTATCGCGGCAGCGGCAGCGGCAGTCGAATATGGCGGAGGTGGATTGGTATGCCCTTCTGTAGGTACACAGGGTTAGACACTTCTCTTTGCCCACGAAACATTGATATACCTTCTGCTTGTGAGCCTGGATTTCGACTGTCTGACCCGAACGATGTTCGTCGACTCCCCCCCACCCACTCTCTAGGGTCATAGGGCACATTGTAGTTTGCCGGCATTCTTGCAGCCATCGGTATAGCACTTTGCGGACTTGGGATAGGCGAATTTGTATATGTCGAAGAGAAGGGTCCGTAAAGCAACGGTGCGGAGAGGGGCCCTGGCGATGGCAGACCGCGCGCAGAAACAATGTTGATGTTCAATGGCGGTGGGAGGGGGACATGGCTGAGACGAACTGGAGAGGCCGTGGGCTGGCCATCTCTCAACGGCGGCGGTGGTGGGAGAGGAATAATGACGGTAGGAGTTCTTGGGGATTGTTGATATTGAGCCTGGGCGTGTTCAGCCGCAGGCAATGATCGGCTTTTGAGATGTTGTTAGCCTGTCCGCCTCAGAGCTCTAGACTGTGACATAGAACCACTGCTTTGGAGGCACACATACAAGGACATATTGTGAAGAAACAGTCTTGCCCAACCGCCAAATTGAGATTGGTGGGTTAAGCGCCCACACGGTTCATGTCACATTTGCGCATATTCGTCGTAGGCCTCGCATCCAACTGACATCAGCGGACGACGGGTCTTTCCATTCACCGACTCGACATCACATCAAACTCCTCCGTCGATGAAAATGGAAAAATATAAATGAGCACGGAAACAATGAGATATCCACAACCTGATCTTGGACGAAGGCGAAAGAGGCGAAGGCATTGAGGGCGATTACGGAAGTGGGGACAAGTCGAGTGGCAGACGTTTTGTTGCTATTCTTTGCCCTGAGGGCTGCAAGCCAAGCCTAGAACCATGATCGCTTAAGCTGTCTATAGGGCATGTGGCCGGAGAATAACTCGGGCATTGGGTGGCCTGAGTTGGGAATATTCGACGCTGACTGGTGCTAATGCGAACAAATGTGCAGGAACCCAGAGCGGAAGCGGGATGGCGGGTAAGCCTCGCGTACCTAGGATCGACCAATGGAGCCCGGAATATGCTGAATGGCAAGTGGGCGGAGAGAAAATAGCATCAGCTATAACGCAAGGGGAGGAGGAACACCTACGGTAGGACGCGAGCAGTTAGGCACAACCGTCCCGCCCATAACTTCAGCTTTGTTGACAAGCCGGGGAATCTGGCTGCCCCTAAAGTCTCCTTCGCTTAACCTGCTGGTTTTGTCAAGAACCACTACGCGTTTCAAATTTGGTGCAACCAAAAAAAATAAAATTGTCATGCTTCAAATCCGAGTGGTATCTTCCACAACACGAACCTCACCTCTTAATTAATTTTCTTGAGATCTGTGAAATTATCTGACTTTTGCTGAGATGATGCAGCACGCTCACCCGTGAGCAAGGTGCTCACGCGGAAAATGCTATAAGCGTCGGTATTGTCGTTGGTGCTAACACTATGCCTTTAACCTACTCCTCATGAGACTCAAATTGAGGCCGCTCATCTAGCCTCCCCTTCACCAGACAGTTCCCGTCGTCCGAGATGACGCTACACACAATAAGGACATCGGAAGCAAAAAGGAGGAACAAATGAAGCTACACAGTGAGTCTTTCTCAGTTGTCATTCCTGGCTCAATGATGAATCTGCATACCGTAACAAACTAGAGTCTTTGATCCTTCTGGAAATGAAACTCAGTATCGCAACGCACGTCAGTCTGATCATGCAGGATTTCCATGTCACAGCTGCCGCTTCATTGAGAGTCCTATATCTGACATCAACCATAGGAATTGCTCCTCGCTGATCACCCGCCCTCCTCGCCCACAACTCTGAGCATCCGGTACGTTGAACCCCTCAACCTGGCGCTCCAATCTACCATGATGACTGTTTTGAAATAATATACGCTGGAAATTACCGGCAGAGGCTTTCAAGCCGTGGAAGATAACAAAATGGCTATATCTGATCCTTCAATTCCACCCACAACTCTTACAAGTCAAGGTCTTTTGAGGAAGTTGGCTGACTTATGTTCGAAGACAGGTATCGGAAGGTAGGGTTGGTACTCCCACCTCCAAAACAAAGTGGCATCCTTGATGAATGGCACTGGGCTCCGACAACGGCTACAAAACCGCTGGATTTGATGGAAATGCCCCATTGTGGCAGGCCTAGAAAACCTCGCCCACTGATTTGCCTCATCTCCTTACCAATCATATACGTCTTTCGCAACTCGAACTGATTGTCCCGATCTCGAACAGGAGAGCTGGAAGTATACTGGGCGGCTGAGTAGGTCTTTTTTCCCCTTCACGCCCGCCTTTTCCATGATGAACTTTCTAGATGACGAGTCTTATCCAGTACTCTGATGCAGATAAACTCAAACAACCATTCATGCATTTCCTGACCTTCGTCTCTATCTACCACCTTCTCCCACGTCTTGATAGTGTAATGCTAACAATCGAGCCTTCGTCAGATCAGGTGTTGCATTGCAAGTATGTTCACGGCTCTAGACAACCTCTACCCTCCTTCATATGATGAATCGACACATTCCAAAAGACAAGCATATGTCCAAGTCAACCCAGGTTGATGAAGACGAGACTGGTCCAGCCTGACTCGTATCCACACCAACATTCTACTCCTCGATCCGTTCGGTGTGGTTCTAACAGAGATTTTGGCCAGGTTTGCGTGGATAGATCTTTCTCATGTGAGTTACATATTCTTTTCTCCAGTGCTTTGTATCATGATGATTTATTCTACAATTCACGACGGTCAACGTAGCTTATGTTTTGACGACCACCGCCTGTGACAAGGCTTAGATCTGAATATTTGCAATTTCCATGGTGTCTATGTTTGCAAGCATGGACTCGGCTGACTTTTCCATATGCAGAATATCACTTAGTAGCTAGGTGTCTGCGACAAATACAATATGTGATCACCTCTTTTCTCTCTTTTTCGCATCATCCTAGATTGGCGGATTTCACTTTACGATCTCTTATTTTTAATTTCACTCTGATTTGCCCTTGTTTTACTTTTGCCCTGCTCTCACTTCAACTCGGTCCCTCTCTGTCAGCATCAGCATGGGCTCCAGAACAGGGACTCGACCCAAGAGGGTCTACTCAAAGGCGAGGCTTCAGCGTGCCCTCGACGTCTATCATCGGGCTTCCCTACGTTTGATATCCACACGCCATACTCAGGAACGTCATCTTCGCGAGGATTACCAATTCCGACGGGTCAACTCCGCCGGGAACTTTGCGCAAGCTATATCATGGTATGATGATGATTCGTCTGATGAATACTGTCCCACCACAGCCAAAAAACGTCGGCTTCCAGTTCGCAAAATCCCAAAAGCGAAACGAATCAAACATGAAGCTAGGCCAACAAAGCCAGCATCCTCCCCGGAAGCTCGCGATGGGTCTTGCCGATCTCTAGTCACGCTCAAGCTCACATCCAGTGCTGGCAGAGCCCTGCTAAGTGACATTGCCAACAAAGAAGGCACTGGTTCTGGGACCAGGTCAGGTGCAGATGGCGACTTGAGAGAAGGAGTTTCTAAGGGTAGTGTACAACTCGGTCCCGTGTGGGACGGGATTACCTTAGAAACTCGAGACCAAGAGAGTGATAAAATTTGTGGAGGAACAAATCGCAGCGGTTTCAAGAGAAATAGGAATGTTTCGTTAAGATCTGAGGGACCGACAGAATCCAAGAATCCCAGCAAGGTCTGCTATGCGAATACCAGCCGTTTAACTTGCGAACAAGGTCAAATTGAAGCTGCAGCTTCTGTTGAGCGCAGCCTTCCAAAGGAGGCAAGGACTGGAGATACCTTGGTCAACCGGCCCACCGCCACCTCTCACTGCCCTTCTGCTCCTGCTCAGCCAACGCCGATCCAAATTATTCGAGCAGCAGCTGTAGAGATCCAACAAGCTCGGGACATCCTGGCCGGGCTTTCTAGGGAAAACCCAATCGTCCTAGACTCGCCTCGATCTTCGCCAGAAGCATCTCCGCAGAACGAAGAATCCACGTTTCGCACCTTCACAATAAGTACTCCGTGGGCTCATCCGATCAATTTCAAGTATCTTGAATCGTTGAATAAGCCATGCCACTTTTGTGAGGACTTCAGATATGGGATCTTTGGATATGGTGTGATCTCTGTCGAGGTCATCCAATTCATGGAACAGCCAGAGCTTCAAGAGATGGGCAATGGGCATCGGGCTAAGGGCAAAGAAGCAACACGCATGTGCGTCAACTGTTCTTTAAAGCGACTCCATATTTCTCGATGCAAAGTCCATTCAATGCGTCGTTTCGCACATAGATCTGAAGAGCTCCATCGGAAGTACATCACACAGTTGACTGGCGACAGCTATCCCCAAGGACCAGCGCTCAGACACGGGGTGTACCCCACGTGCTCATTGTGTTCGAATGCGGCGTTGTGGAGCTGCTGTGCGGACCAGAGGGTGGATAAGTACTTGAGGAAGCTGAACGATGGTAAGGGGAAAGGTTGCGGGTTGGTCCTCTGTGATTCATGCGCAGGACAAGTGAGAATGGACAGAGGGGTTTTGAAGAGGACGACGGTGCAGGAGGTCGACGGCTACGATTGTCGACGGGCAGATATGGAATTCCTCTTTGCAGGAAGCTTGCTTCACAAGGCGTGGGCTTGAGGGGGGTGGGCTCGATGCGACGAGCTATGAAGCAAAAACAGGAGGGATTTGGCGCCCCGCCGAGTGTTGTCAGGTTGTCAAGAGGGAGAATGCAGGATGAAGACACCCTTGGAGTACGAGTATAGGAAAAGGACAGGGCGCTGAGTGGGAGGTGCTGAAGTGCATCCGTGTGTGTTGTTGCAGTCGGTTATCCTGGCTCAAGGATAATCTCGCTATCGATCGACCTTCGTTGGCAGCATAACAGCGTTTCAAGTAGGCATGATATGTCCCTCGCTCATACTCAGGGCTCATTCTTTTTATTCTGCTTCATAACTGTCCCATTGTGTTGCTGCGAAGTAAAGCTTCTTCGTTGCCGCCGATAAGGTGCCGCTGCGCTGCGATAAGGAATCATTGTCCCACTCGTAAAAAAAAGTGCCATTCCCAAAACACCAGCACCAGCACCAGCATCATCAAACTGGAAGACAATCGGCCTGAGCTATCTTCCGTTCGCATCACATCACCTTCCTCTGCGCTTCTTCCCACCGATCGCCGCCATCTTCTGCCAAACAGGTTACAGTAACAAACACTCACCCTGTCGGCAACCGAATTTGACTGACTGCCTGGCCACTTGGGCCACCGCCCTTTCCACACCGAACTACCTACCTCCAAACGGATCGATAGCGGAGATCATGAGACTTTAAGAGCTTCAAAAGATGAGGACACTGTTGCTGCATACTGCTCATTAGATTCATCCAGTCACCTCTGCTACGCTTTTCCACAACAACGCCGTAAGCCCATTGCGGGCACAACTCACCGCTCCTCAAGTCAGCCATGAGTTTCGTTCAATCCAGTCCATTGGCTATGTTGAGCAGGAGTTCTTTGAATCGGGTGCTGCAGACTTCTGAAGTGAGTGGATGAAACTTTCTTTGCATTTGGTCGAGTTTTCTCTTGAATCAGGCTTTGCATATTCTATCTCGTGGCCTCTGATGGATGGAAACGCCATGTGATGGTCAACATTCCTCTATCCTCGAAGGAATACCTCCGACTTGACAGCCGAGGCAACCTACCCCGTTGGAAGGGGGATGAGGCTCGACACTCTTAGGCCTGGGAATGTAGGCATCCGGTGAACCGACCATTACCTATGTGTCGCCCACCCACCGCTTTGGCTTTCTGCATGGAGTAAGCCGAGAAGAGAAGGTCCTGCTGTGGAGAAGGAAGCAGATCTGCAGACAATTTCCCCGCCGCTGAGAAGGGCATTCCTGAATTTTCCGAGCGGACATGATGCCCCGTGAACCAGCGAGCCAGCAACCAGAGAAAATTGTGTTGAGCCGAAGAAAATCCCAAAGGCCGCACAACGAACTTCACGTCCATCAAGCCATCACCACGCGACCAGCCGCCTTCCCCTCTGCGAACCACCAATCTAGCCCGAATGAGACGTGGTCTGATTCTCGAAAAGTTGCAGTTTGCACCTGCCTGTGACGGTTTTGGCGTGAGCGTTATTCTTGGTCTTGCCGGGGCATTCAATCAAAGATCCCTCCGTTAACGCGTGCGGCGAGCCCCGTAATCGACCTGCGGCAGAGATCTCACTTTATTTCTCGGAGCGAGATCCATCACCACCACCACAGATTCAACCTATCTCTGATCCTCCCGGCCAACATATTGCTGAGATGGGCCAAGACGTGAGCACGCCCGCATTTTCCTCTTGAGACTTTCCCTACGCTGAGGGCACGAGCCACGGGACAAACCTGCTTGCTCAACACATGCGACCTCTACCCCCTGGTCCTGCACCAACCGGAGCGAATTTTTGCCTCAACCCAGCTTCTGCTTTGTGCCATTCACGTCGTTATTGAGTATGGGGTTTTGCATCCCTGAAAGCGATCGAGTATGACGTCGCTCATGCGCCATTTTGTTTTGTTCGGTTTGTGTGATTGGTCATACACCAACTGACATTGATGTAGTCCGAGGTCACGCAGATTGTGGTGGTTATGGTGGGCTTGCCAGCTCGAGGCAAGAGTCTGATCGCTGGCAAAGGTTTATCTAACCATCTCTAGATTGGGCCTTGAGTGCTAACGTGGCTCAGTCAAGAGATATCTTCGATGGACGTCGGTCAACGCCGAGGTATTCAACGTCGGCAAATACAGGCGGACTGACAATCCCCATCCCGATGCCAAATTCTTCGATGTCAATAACGCCGAAGGCGAGAAAGCTCGCCGCGCCGCAGCTGAGGCCGCCGTGGCTGACATGCTTATGTGGTTCAAGGACAAGAACAATAAGGTTGCCATCCTTGACGCAACAAATTCCACCAAGTCGCGACGGAAATGGATTCACGACAAAATCGTGGAGGCCAACCTTCTTCATCTCTTCGTCGAAAGCAAATGCGACGATGAAGATCTCATCATGGCCAACATCCTCGAGGTCAAGACGACATCACCAGATTATATCGGCCAGGATCCAGAGGTGGCCGCCAAAGATTTCCGCAACCGTATCCGGAACTACGAGAAAGTCTACCAAACAATAGATGAATCAGAGAAACACCTCACCTACGTGAAAATCATTAATATTGGGGCACGTGTGGTGATCAACCTGATCCAGGACTACTTGCAATCGCGCCTTGTGTACTACCTCACCAATCTGCACATCAAGCCACGCAGCATTTGGCTATCTAGACATGGCGAGTCAGAATACAACCTCGAGGGCAAGATCGGTGGCGATGCCAACTTATCGGAGCGTGGTGAACGATATGCGAGGATGCTGCCCGAGCTCGTCAAGCGTTCTGGGCTGCCCAAGGATGCTCCTTTGACGATATGGACCTCGACTTTAAAGAGAACAAGCCAGACTGCACAACATCTACAGAAGGAACTTGGCTGGGAGAAATTACAATGGAAGGCGCTCGATGAGCTGGATAGTGGGGTTTGTGATGGGATGACGGTAAGCTGAATCTTTCCGACACCACATGCACCCTCCATCCATTCTTTCTTAGGCACTAATGAATCTCTTCCGTGTGTACAGTACCAGCAAATTGCCGAGAAGTACCCTGAGGACTTTCAAGCTCGCGATGACGACAAGTACAACTACCGGTATCGCGGAGGCGAGTCCTACCGTGACGTGGTTATCCGTCTGGAGCCCATCATCATGGAATTGGAACGAAGCGAGAACATCATTATCATCACGTACGTTCATCTTGGAGCACTTTCGGTCTGATTTTGCGATCAAACTGGCAATACCTTTCCCGTTTGTGCAGAGGCGGTCTTATGCTTCTTGTTTTTCCCCCTTTCCCTCCGAGAATCCCGTTATGCTGACAACTCTTGGGGGCGATACAGTCACCAGGCCATCGTGCGATGCATATTTGCGTACTTCATGGAAATCCCTCAGGAGAAATCGCCTTGGATGGAAGTACCATTACACACGCTGATGAAACTCACACCCAAGGCATACGGCACCGAGGTCGAGCGCTTCAAGGCCGACATCCCTGCCGTATCGACCTGGAGACCCAAGGGCAGCACGGCCAAGCACCATGACAGCGTCAGCGAGGGCGTGCCGGAGGACGTGGTCGGCGAGGCCAAGGGCAAGAACTTTGGCTCGCGCGACGGGACTGTCGTCAAGGAGCTCGATGCTGGCAGTAACCGGAGGGAGCTGACCGCGGGGGAGATTCCAAAGGTCACGATGACCGGATTGCCCTTGCCTTGAGACTTTTGCTGAGCTGTGGGAAATATGGTCTAATAAAGACGAAGACGCGGGATCCCCAGAGAAGCATCGCGAGGAACAGAAGAGGCACCGCGACGCGGAAACACGTTTGAAACCATGAGCCCGGACAGGGAAATGAGGATGAGAAATCAGCGACGGGTCCTAGAGCCATTGGCACCGTCGCTTTGAGACAAGACGAATGAATATTATGCTCTAGAGAGAAGATATGATGTAGGCAGTCTAGTTCAAGTGCATACCTACGTAGCAGAATACCCCCACCACTCGTAGGGCAAGGGGAACACACCTCTAGCCAGTGTACTCTTCTCTCCAAACTATCTTGAAGGTCGTCTTATTTTTAATACTACAGCGCCTGCTGCTTCCTCTGTTATTGTTTTTGTTGTTTACTGAGGGCCCCTTGTCTCTCACACCGATACGTACCTGTTCCTCCTCGAGTGACGACTTCCCTACCTAGGTAGGCTGGATTTACTCATCCTACCGTATTCACTTTGCTTTCCTGCCAGATACGATACAATATACGACTGAAGTGACTAACTAACCCACCAAGAACGTGGATAGATGTCCTAGACTCAATTGATAGGTGGGTAGGTTGCGAGGTTGATAGGCGAGTAGATGGGCAGGTGGGTGGCTGAGTGCCGCAATGATATATTCCATCTATGTTTTCTATATAACATGACGTAGATGGAGGATCTTTCTAGACTAGATACTGGAGACTGGAAACTATAGACTGTAGATTTGTAACTCGTGACAAAGGCCACCCCTCGATTTCAGGATTAACGAAAAGCAAGCGGGAAAAACTGGGCTTGCTGGGTCGAGAATCAGCCTTGAAGAACGGATATGGACATGGATATGGACATGGGTCGATGGACGGATTGGAGCAGATTGTCGCTGTTAGCAGGCAAAAGGTTCCCCGACCGTGCCGCTATTGTAGGCGTCGACGATGAGTTTGATGGATACGTACGTTCCTGGGAGAGGTGGTGCGAGAATGTTAGCTGTCTACTTCTCCAGAGTTCTGTGCTCAACGAGAACAGCATGGGGGGAAATACGTACCGGCAACGCAGATGAAGGCGCCTGCGGCAAACGTCGCCGCGTTGATGGTTGCTTTGATTGGACTCCCGGTCCAGGCCCTCATCCCATAAACGCCCTTGACTCTCCCCTTATCCAGCCCGTGATAGGCATCGTACAACCAGAATGCACCGGCAATCCCATAGGTGTACCAACTCGCGAACAGACTCGCCGCGATACTCACGAGGTACGCGAATATGGGGACTCCCACCGCCAACACAAATGCAGCGCCGTTGGCAAGGATGATGAGCGTGGTCCACGTGGTCCAGCCCAGGATGGTATGCTTGTGCAGATGATGTCGAGATTTGCGGAAGAAGCGAATGAAGAACAGTTTGGCAGCGGTGTGAGAGTACAACGACCCTGCGATCAGGAAGTTGGGGAGAGCGATGCCGTACGTGGCTTTGGCCCATTTGGTGGGGAGGGATGAAAAGGCCGGCGACTGGACTGACGGCCCTAAATACACGTACATGACGATGGTGAAGACGGTGTAGAACCTGAAGAGCATTCCGCCATCGACGGCTTACAGTCAGCCTCATATCCATCCCGGGTATGGAACGGCTCTTTACTCACGCAGTGGCAAAAACCTGCAACACCCACGCTGCCTTTTTGGCATCAGCCGGCCGCTTCATCTCCGAGATCAGGATGAAAAACATGAAATGCCCGGCGTAGGCGAACACAGGATTCGTGATAGACACAAAGGCATTGTAGAAGCTGGCCGAACGAGCGACGTCGACGTGTCGATCGGGAGCGGGATTCCCCCCAGCTGCGCCCATACCTACGACACCGGCAACCAAAATGCAGATGCATGATGGAATACAGAGCCAGGAGAGCTGGTCCAGTGTTCGAGGAAACGAGAGTATAAGGGTTGGAATTGCAAAGATTCCTGGCTTGTCAGCTAGTGATAATAGACAAGATCACGACGCAGCAAAACACACCAGTATACCACATCAGACAGAGCTTGTTGTCCGATAATACCCCCAAGGCAATCTGTCCAGCAAGTAGCTGTGATCCAGTTGCGCAGACGGCGAAGATGACGGTACCAGCGGAGAGAATTTCGCGCAGCAACGGCCCACCAAGGATCCTCCCGGCATCACCCATATTGTGAACCTCGGGGTGGTTGATTTTGAAGTCTATCAGCACCAGAGAGGTGTAGAGCGCAAAGACCCCTGTAACGAGGTTGCAATCAGACACGCGAGTTTCAGGCTTCACGATGCCCAGAGACCTCGGGCTATCTTACCAAGAAAGATGATCAGGACCACTCCTGGCACGATGCCGACCACCGCCGTCGCTGCTGGTAAGGAGAGCATGCCATTACTGACGATCTCAGCGATCATGAGAACGGCGACGAGAGGCCATGATAAGGTTTTGTATTTGATATCAGCACCTTCCTCGTTGCCAAAGACGTCTCGATCTAGTGCCGTCAGCAAGGCGCACACATTTCTTCTACCTAGTTCAGTGTAGAACGTACCATGGTAACCAGCGGGTGCGCCATCAACGAGATCTCGCGACCGAGCAGTGGACAGTCCTTCCGGCTCGATGATCTCATCTGCCGGACCTCTGTACTCAAACTTCTTCTCGTAGCTCGACATTGTTCGACGCGCGATGATTCTATGGTGTCAGCTATTACTACTTCCGATGAGGACGGTCGACTCTCCGGTGAGTCGTAGCTGTCATGACCATAGAATGGGCGGAGACGTCAAGCAGGCGATGTAAAGATTAAATGGCTCTAGTTGGCAAGGATATTACCGACAACACTCTTGTCGCCCATCGCATTATCTATCAAAGCCCCTTCTGCCAGAAGAGGAAGGTGGAAAGGCATAGTGCGTAGCAGTCTCCTTGCAGGGGCAGGATTGGATAGCGATCATGATGACAGAGATGGTTGAGGTCAGGATACCAGGAGTTGATTGCAGGGGCCCGGAGTGGATCGGGAGTTGGCCGGTGCCAAGCCATAGAGACAGCCACTCCTTACCAGCCACTGGCAATGGAACGCTGACCTAAACAAGTCACACCAGCCACAGTGTCCTGATCTCCCATGCCATTTCGAAATCACATGCTGCAACTGCGCCCGTGAGCCAATCATCATCTGATCCGCAACCTCTTTCGTCATACCCATTCCACCCAAGTGCCACCCTCCACACTCCCAGCTCGCCAGGTTGAAACCGGGAAACAGCAGTGAGAGAAAGCTTTGGCTCCTTTGCTCCGTTCTCATCATTCACCTCTGTTGTCACTTTTGTGCGAAAATCCTTCTCTTGCGTCCGCCGCCCCTTCGAAGCTCATCCCCTGTCCTTCCTTGAGAGCTGCACTGTCATCCACGCGATTGGCAAGATGAGTTACGCCGATGTTGCTGCCAAAGGGCCCAAACAATCCCCAGAAGAGGTCAGTCAAGCTCCCATTCCCAACCACACCAGAATGCCTAGCTAATCCCTCTATAGGCGTACGTTCCTGGCCATGCCTGCGAGCATATTTCCAATCCGCTAATGTGGTATCAACTAGGCGTGCTCCACCTGTTCCCTCCCTCTCTCAGTCCGAGTCGGAAGTTGCAAGCTTGATCGACGTCGACTCGCCGCACGTCAGCTCAGTCAAATCGGATTTCCAAGAACAAGCCATCAAGACTGAGACGCAGGCCGAACGGATCGAGCACGAACTGGAGGACAAGGCTCGCGCAGCAAGGCAGGAATTCTCAGACAATGCCGCAAGTGCCAAGAAGAAAGCTGCTAGCAAGGGCAAGCAGTTCAAGGACGAGATGAAGAAGGATGGACAAAAGTTGAGCGAAAATAGGGACAATCCTGTTGTCGTTGGTAATGCCATCATCTGGGGCATTGCCACTATTGCTATTGGCTATGGAGCCTATCAGAAGCATACGGAGGGCAAATTGGACTGGCAGCTTGCTGGATCTGTGGCCGCTGGAGTAGGCGCTTTCGCTGTCGCGGATTATTTTGGCAGCAAGTAAGATTGACGCCTTCTCTGATCTTTGTTATTGGTAAACTGACACGCCTTCTAGGTGGCTCCTTGAGAACAAGTACCCTCCGAAATAGGCCGCAACTGGCTCAGTTTGAACGACTCTCCCATGGCGGCGGTGGTGGAAGGAATTGTCTAGATTTCGGCGCGACTTCTCTACTCGATTGACGGTGGCGGCGCGCTTCTGGCGTGCAAGCCTTTGGGTGCCATATTTCTTTGGTCTCGCAAATATGATATCCTCTTTTTGATCTCCTCGCTGCAATAACTTCCTTCCACAGCTTTGTGTTTTGGCTTGATCGATGACGTTTCAGTAACCAACCCGACACCGCAAGGAATCTCCTGCTCCATTTCCCCTGGTGGTCTCATCGGTTGACAGATCCCTCGTCCGTGAGTCAGCCTGCGAAGGGCATGGCATGCTGATTCTGACCGCTTGCGACGAATAGACCGCTGATTGCAATACAACCATGAACAGGGTGAAGAGGCGACAATGGCTATCATGAGCATGGACATCTAGATGAGGTTGGACTGAGGTATCGAAGATCGAGTCATGGTTGGTGACCGGATAGAGGAAACTGAGGAATCCATTGATAAAGTGCAGGACTAACACTGGGTTGCAGAAGATCATGGTGTACAGGAACGAAGGCTGTTGTTGGATTATATCCCAGCCTGAGCGAGGCTCACTGGAGAAGGGCTGTTCTTTGTCGGATGCGCCGTTCATTGCTGCTACATAGGATTCGAATGTGAAGGTGGTGCTCTGGATAGGCACTGTGGGTTGCGAACAACAATATCCGCTGTTGTTTTGGCGAAACGATGGCTGCGAGCACAGGAGTGAGACTGGCGCGGTGGACGAAGACAATTCTTTGGGGCTTCAGAAGATAAAATTGATAACAGTGGGATATCCTCGTAATCAGTATAGGTGAATGAGGGGAGAAAATAGGTTCAGCCAAAGAAAATGTGCGGTTACTGCAATGGTCGACGGCAACGACTTCCTCACCCACCAGAGGCTGATTTACTTTCAGGTGACACTGCAACACGTCAAGGCAGTTGCGGCGTCACAGGAATCGCTTGAGCTGTATGGTTTGCTTGTGAGTGTCCTCAATATGGAATTTCTCAACAAGACCTTAGTGACCATAGGCCTGGGAAATCGTAGGTGAATTGTACGCCTGTATAGTCAGGTGGCCCATGTCTAGCATCTCTAACTACGTGTGCCAGCATAGTGATCAACGATGTGTTTTTCCCTGTAGGAACAAGTTTTGTCATGGTTACCAGTTTGTGTCGTCGAAGTAGAGCGAATCATATGTGATTCGGCAGAATTTCGTATTTAATGCCCTTTTGGGGTTCCAGCGCAGCAGCAAAGCGCGCTGGGAGGACAAACTGTACTTTTGGTGCCCCCCATCAACAACATGAATTATTGGAGCACAAAGTTGAGACGGAATTTCTAGCATCTCTTGTAAAGTCCCTGTATTTCCTCCATCATAATCTGGTTTCGAAGCATTTGCAAGATGGTAAGTCGATCCTCTGTCAGGTGCGGCTCAAGACATCTCGTTCACATGCTCCAGAATGTGCTATTCAACCAAGCCCTGAAACAGTCCACCTCTGTCAGAAAAGACCTAGAAACTTTCGCACAGGCACCGGCCACCGCGTCTCCCGCTCTACAGGGACAGATATCCACGACCCTTACCAGTCTTTCACGAACCCTAGAGGACTACCAAAATCTCTCGCGAAATGAGCTGAACGAAGAGAAGAAAGAGAAGGCATTAGAGAGACTCAAGAACTTTCGCGCAGATCTGGCGTCCTATCGCACACAATTCGATCAACTGAAAAGGGAACGTGAGGCAACCGTTGCTGTAAACAATAGGAATGAACTACTCGGTCGACGGCCGCACCATGCTGCAACCCCTGAGAACCCATATGCCCATGTCTCAAGTCAGAGCGCATTTGCTCCTGCCCACCGCAACACACAAGACGGATTGTCCTTCGGCGCGGGTTCCAGTGAGTATACTCGGGAGGAACACGCACTGCGAGAACAGAGCTTCTTTGATACTGCCAACGCCCAGCTCGATGAATTTTTGGATCGAGGCCGAGCTGTTCTGGGCGATCTGGGACATCAACGTGACATTCTCAAAGGTACACAGCGGAAGCTCTATAGTGTTGCCAATACTCTCGGAGTGAGCGGTGACACTATCCGGATGGTTGAGCGAAGAGCCATGCAAGACAAATGGATCTTTTGGGGAGGTGTTGTGGTGTTTTTCTCCTTCTGCTTCCTGGTCATCTACTTCTTGAGATAACCATATTGTTGTGGCAACTTCTCACGCCAGTTCGATTCTCCTCGATGCAACGCTCATCAAGTCATCCTGATAGCGGCGGCATGTGTTTCGGCTAAGCTGAGACGACCGAATAGCGGACGTGGGCTCGGATTACTGAAGCTTGGTCACGAACACATGATAAAAACCTGGATCCCTCATACCACCTGCGGCATACAGCTACACCGGACTTATGAGCCAGCAAAGTGGCGAGAAGATGCCGATGCCTCGTCCGCTCTCAATTGGGAGGTATTGACCGAGTCGGAAATACTCCAAGTCCCCGTCTCGATCCCTAGGGCCGACGGCAGCAAACGGTGTCTCTCGAGACCGTGTCATGTTCCGTTGACACATGTTGGGCCCAACCTTGTCCGATATCAAGATGTGTCAGGATTACCGAGTCAGGGACCCATCCAGTTAGCAGATAACGCCCCTTCGTGTGTGGGATCTGGGCTTTGGCCACTACAGAAGGCTGGATTGGATTCGCGGCTGCAGGCGAACCTTCCCCGCATTTTCGAGTCAAGGCTCAACCCCAGTCAGGCGCGCATTGATTGCCTCGGAACAACCCACGGCGCCCGTGTCGCAGGCACTAGATCAGGTATTTATCGACTTGGAAGGTTTTTTTGGCTGCTCCCATCGCTCCTCTTAAATTGCTGTCTTGCCTCCTTCGATACAAATTTCCTCTTTCCACTTTGTTCGCCTTGAAGTGCCCTTTCAGAAACCAGCTCGACTTCAAGTGATTTTCTTCTCGAGAGACCATCAACGTCAGCAAGATGGGAGGTGACATGCCGTGGCCGCAAGTCCCCGTGGGCAATAAGGACCACACTGAGGCAGCTGTGGTCATCATCGGCGCGGGGATTTCCGGCATGTGCACCGCTATTGACCTAATCAAAAGAAACAACTGCAGAAACTTTGTTATCCTTGAAAAGAGTGGTGGGCTTGGAGGCACATGGCGAGACAACAAGTACCCAGGATGCTGTTGTGATGGTAAGAACAAATCACCGTTGTGGAGCAGCGAGATTCTAACAATGTGCGCAGTCTGGTCACATTTATACAGCTACTCCTTCGAGCAAAACCCGGACTGGACCAGAGAGTACCCTGGCCAGGAGGAAATCTTGCAGTATCTCATGGGAGTCGCACAAAAGTACGAGTTATACCGTTACGTACGCTTCAACACCGCCGTGGACTCAGCCAAGTGGGATGACGCAGAGAAAAAGTGGAAGACAACAGTGTCTGTACAGGGCGCCAAAGACGCCGAGTTTGGGAGCACATATACCATTACCTCTGACTTTCTAGTCTCTGCCGTAGGCCAGCTCAATGTGCCTAGAATGCCAGAAATACCAGGCCTCGACGACTTTCAGGGAAAACTCATGCACAGCGCCCGCTGGGACTGGAGCTACGATCTACGAGGCAAGAAAGTTGCCATTATTGGAAACGGTGCCACAGCCGCGCAGATCATTCCAGAGATTGTCAAAGAGGTTTCTCATCTTACCATCCACCAGAGGACTCCCAACTGGGTCATTCCTCGTCTCGACTCTACTATTCCAGCCTGGAAGAGAAGTGTGTACAAATATCTTCCCTTTGTCCGGTGGCGAAAGCGAGCCGACATGATGGATTTCCGGGAAGCATTCTATGCCGCCGTGTTTGATAACGCATCCACCACCGCACAATTTCTTGAGGCGCAGAGCAAAGATCATCTGCATGCTCAACTTCCAAATCGGCCCGACTTGTGGGAGAAGCTGCAGCCAAACTACTCGATTGGTTGCAAGCGCGTCATCATCAGCGATGACTACTTCCCCGTATTCCTCCGTGACAATGTTCGATTGGAAACCGGCAAAATTGACAAGATCACCGCCAACGGGATAGTCACTGACGGAAAAGAGGAGGATTACGACCTCATTATTCTCGCCACTGGCTTCCGCACTGTCGAGTTCATGCATCCCATCAACATCACAGGCAGCGCCGGGCGAACGTTGAGTGAGATCTGGAAGGAGGGTGGGCAAGCTCTGTATGGTGTGACTGTCGAGAGTCTGCCCAATTTCGGAATGCTGTATGGTCCCAACACGAATCTGGGACACAACAGCATCATCCTCATGATCGAGACGCAGAGCAAATACATCAACGCTCTGATCAAGCAGGTCATTGATGCCCGAAAGAATGGTGGCAGCCTGGTGATCGAGCCTAACCCGGCCAAAGTCAAAAAGTACAACGATGAAATCCAGTCGGAACTGGAAAGGAGCAGCTTCGCAGACCCCAACTGCAACAGCTGGTACAAGGTCAAGGATAGCGGCAAGATTACCAACAACTGGAGTCGCACAGTCGTGGACTATCAGAAGGTGAGATGCGATCCCAACCGTCCATGTCTAACTTTTCTAATGCTGACTTGCCGATAGCTTTTGAGCAATGTCGACTGGTCCGACTATGAACTCTCAGGGACTTTTGCAGATAAAGTGGCCAAGCAAAAGCCCACGCACATTGGGCGAGTTGTTGAAGAGTCGCAGATCAGCTACCAAACCATGGCTCTGACGGCGCTGAGCTTAGCAGCGGTGGGCGCGGGCGTTGCTCTCCGGCACACGGGTAGGCTTCGGTTCTGAATACGGGATTCATGCACCTACACATTGGCTGGGGAAGATGGAGTTTGGAGGATATCCGGAGAGATCTGTACATAGTAGTTGGTAGTCTGGCCTCGACGATCTTCTGCTGCAATATGAATATTTTCGCGCTCCCTTTTTTGCTCTCCCTTGTCATTTGTGCGGCGGTCTGCAAAAGGGAAAAGTAAGCGTGGGGCTTCGATACGTACGAACAGGTAGTGATTGGCAAACCGAAATTTCGACATTCAGCGTGGGATGGGTCTCTTCATCGATCTCAGGAGAATTCGGGGTTCCTTGTGCCTCGCCCTTGTCCTTTCCTGGCAAGCCATGTGGTGCCTAGCTAGGGGGGACACTGGGCCACGTCCTATAGGCGAGAGCCCCCTCAACAAGCATGATACTAGTACTTGTAGGGTACTTTGGCATGCCCAGTTAGACAGCATCGGGGGCCACCTTAGCCTAGTGAGCCGGGGCTATTAGCTGGACCTCTGTTACTGGCTACACGCCCAGTGCTTTGGGGCCCTTCCGGAGCACTCTCCTCTCGTCTCTTTCTCAGTTCCCACGAACTTATCCTGCGTTGATTTTCTGGCACCCATAACAATCGACTTCTACAAGCCCGCCCGATATATCATTCTGTAAAATCAACACCCATATCCTGCGATATTTATCGTCCGTCGTTCGACCTGATCCGCACCCCTGCATATTGGCCTGTTCGCCTCCGAACTCACGCGCCCATATACCGCATTTTACTCTCGACTCGCCCCAAAAAGCTACTTTCGACGGACCCTGTCCACGTTACGACTTCCATTTCCTCTAGATCCTCACAAGATGCCTTCTCCCTTCGGGTCTACCTTTGCCTCTGCTGCTGCTGCTGCTAGCACGAATGGTGACAGTTCTGGAAATAGAAGGGACAATACGGGATCAAGTGACTGGTAGGCCAACCGACTCGAGAATTTCTGAACATTGCGCACCACAAATCCATCTTCAGTTATCGCACCATCAATGCTCAAGTCATTCTATCTCTCGGAATCCATCTCGCTCCGTCTGATTTCATGTGGAATTGGCGATTTTCATTGACCTTTCTGATCTCGTTGCAGGTCTAGAAGCCGTGTGAACGGCGCCCCGCAAACCTTTCGCAGAGTCTCTCAAGCGACCTCGCAGTCACAGACACAATCACAAGCTCGAGAAAGCGCAGGCGTAGCGTTGCCTACTGCCAATAACGGCGGCGTGTACATCCCTCCTCACCTCAATTCCACCAACCCTAGCATGCCTCGAAATCCCCCTCTGGGCGATACCCGCTACTCCAAGGACCAACTTCTGAACATATTCCAAAATCTCAAAGAGTCCTCGGCTCTAGATCGGAACCTCGAGGATATTTTTTTGGGAACGTGGAATCCCTTGGATAGTCAAAACGGGGTGGGTGTTCACGGCATCGGCGGTGACGGAAAAGACCAGGTCCCCGGCCCAGAGGTCTGTTGGAGCTATAACATAAATCCCGAGCCATTTGGCCTGAGGGTTATGACGGAAGAGGAGAAAGTGGTGAGCACGACCTAACCTTTGCGCGATATGTTTAGGCGTGGCTGATTGTGAATGGCAGCTCTTTTCCGGTTCGGTCAACTCGCCAATCAAACCGCAGCAAAATACCTCCAAAGAGAGCTCTGGAGTGGGAGTGATCGGTGGACGCAAGGCTTCCTTATCAGGTTACAACAGTACAACCGGGAATTCGAGGCCAGGGACGCGTCGACGAGAGACGAGTGATTCCTTCATGAGTAATGGCCCCATGTCACCTGTAGAAACGAAGTCCTTTTTCCGAACCGAGTCAAACACCGCGACCCCTCCTCCTGCTCTGCTGCGACGTCGAACAGACTACAAGGAGGAAGAAGCCACACCCTCTGCCAAAGAAGATCCAGAGCCAGACGAAACCCCAGAGTCGCAGCCGTCATTTCCGGGGTTGCGTCGCGCAGGCACTGGTCCGTTAAGTGCCGGCCTGAATCCCCCGTCTGCATCGCCCTGGTCAGCGGGTGCTCAGCCGTCTGGTTTCGGATCTATGGGTACTTTTGGCAGCTTTGCGATAGGGACTGCAAGCACGCCAACCGAGCCTGCCGACAAGCGACCTGGCTTTGGAAGCGCACGCAGCGCCAGCCGGTTCAAGGATCTTTTGTCCAAGTCGAGTGCGGAGGATGTCTCACAACCTGGTAAAGACAAAGGCCTTTTTGGGTCACTTGAAAAGTTGCCGGAAGAGGATGCAGATGCCAGCCAGGCGAGGTTGCGCGACGAGCTCAAGACTCGTCCCGGTCGTAGTGAGACCAATCCGTATGAGGACGCACCCGCGCGAGCAGGCAGCGCGGCTTTGGGTGGCGCCCAGGAGGCCATCCCAGCCGGTGCAGGGATTGAACAAATGGGCATGTCTGCATTTGCTCCTCATGCTGCGATTGGTACCCGGGACTTTGGCCACGATGAAGGGTACCAGCAAACACCGCACGGACGATACAATCTCCACGAACCCATGAGCCCAACAAACACCAATCCATATCAGAGTCCTCACGGTCGTGTCGAGGACGATGAGCGTGACACAAATGACTCCGCTTCCCAGGCATCGGGCCTCCCGCCTTTTGGCGGTGCTGCGCGTCGAGGCATGTATCCTATTTCCGACGATCGAAGTAATTCAGCAAGCGGTCTCCGCGGTGCAGCTGGATTTGGTGGTCTGGCGGGCTTCGGTGGTCTCGGAGGTAATCCTACTTGGTCCGGCGCTGGTATCGGATCAAGCAAACCCGCATTGGATCGAGGGATCTCGTCTGCATTTGGCGATCCTATATTCAGTCCTCTGTCCGAGTTACAGTCTCCTGGTGGCCTCGGCGGCGGTTTCGGTGGATTTGGCTCTGGTGGAAGGGCTGCTCGACTCGGAGCCATGTTGCCAGCGGCAATGCAAGAACAAATTCGAGGGGACAGCAGGAACGAGACTGCATCGTTCGACTCTCGGCCAGACAGTGCTCAACAACATCCTGTGCGAGATCCTTTCGATGGCACAAACCGCAGACAAGATGAGTTTGGTCGTCCACCAAGCCTCTTCGAAGAGTCTCCTTCTATGAGGAGCGTGGAAGAACCGCTGAATCCCAATCTGCCCGGCCAATTTGGACCTCCGAGCGCAGGGCCCCCAACGGGTTCAGTCCCGATATCAGGTTCAGCTTCAGCTTCACAGGCGGCACCGAGAACGGGCGGATCGGAGAACTATCAATCCGGCCATGGGCTCAGTCAGTCGAGCGGGAGTAACTCTTCGAACCAGCTGCCAGCTGCGCAACAGCGACAAATGGTTATGCCCGACCGGATGCGCTGGATCTATCGTGACCCTCAGGGAAACACCCAAGGACCATGGTCCGGTCTGGAGATGCACGATTGGTTCAAGGCCGGCTTCTTTACAGCTGAGCTACAGGTGAAGAAGCTTGAGGATGCCGAGTTTGAGCCACTTGCCCAATTGGTGAGACGCATAGGAAACTCTCGTGAGCCATTCTTGGTGCCTCAGATCGGTGTTCCTCACGGCCCTCCAACCGCTGGCCCTGGTAACAACTGGGCGAACCCCTCTATGGGTGCGGCTGCTAGCGGTACTGCCCAGCCACCCTTTGCTAATAGCTTCCCAAGCTTCGGTACGACCTTGACCGCGGAGCAACAAAATGCTCTGGAAAGACGTAAGCAGGAGGAGCAATACCTGATGGCAAGGCAGAAGGAACATCTGGCGCAACAGCAGATGGCTATGAAGATGCAAATGCAAAATGGGATGCATTCGTTGCACCATCACTCCAGCGCCCATTCCCTACAAAGCCAACCCAGCTTCGGAAGCATCACCTCGCCGACTGGTTATCAGCCGTCGCCAATACAGCCGTTGATGCAACCTCCCCAACAAGGTCTACCATTCGCCCACCACGCTGGACCGTCTGCGGCACCAGCCTTTGGCCGTGAAGATGATATTCATAATATGATGGATCGTCTGAGCTTCAATCAACGCACAAATAATCTCCCCTTTACCGGCGCCCCTTTAGGCCCTCCTCCGCCCGAGGTCGTTCCCTCCCAACAAGTCAACACGATGCTTCAAGATAGGGCTCGGTTGCAGCAACAACAGCAACAAACTGATATGCGCGGTCATCAGGATGCTTTTTTAGGCCCTCAGGGCCGCAACGAGCGGCTGGACGAGTTCCACAGACTACGTGGGCAAATCGACATACCAGCTGGTCGTCTCGGCCCTGAAGAGCCTCGACCTCAACCCATTGGTGCTCCCCGCCAACCTACTGAACAAGCTGTCACGTCAGCAGCATCAAAGGTACCCGCCCCAATTGGGCATGCTGCTGTTACGGCGAAGCCCGAACCCGAGCAACTTTCTTTGGCTCAGCAAGTGCAGATTGCAGCAGCCAGCCAACAAGCGGCCGCGGAAGAAAGTGCTTGGGCAAAGAAAGACACTCCGGTCGAGCCTCCCCCTGTCTCGATTTCGCCTTTGCCTGCTCCCGCCGCCCAGCGGAACAGGCAACACGTGGCTGACGCCCTTGCCGCGGAGTCCAGATCGGCCACCCAAACACCGATCGAGACGCCCATCGTCTCGGTCGCACCATGGGCTGAGCGCACCGCTGAACATGCCAAGGGTCCATCTTTGAAGGAAATTCAAGAAGCGGAAGCCAAACGGGCAGCCGAGCAGGAAGAAATTGCTGCCGCTGCTCGACGTGCACAGGCAGAGCAGGAAAGGTTGGCCCAGGCTCAGGCCCCCGCCCCTGCACCCGGCCTTCCATCGACTTCCACCTGGGGCAGCTCTGTGTCACCTGCCACACCCGGTGCTCAAACCACCTCTGTCTGGGCGAAACAAAACCCTGTCAAAACAGGTACAACAGCGAATTCGGCTCCAAAGAAAACGCTGGCCCAGATCCAGAAAGAGGAAGAGTCTCGCAAACAGCGTGCTGCTGCTGCGGCCGCAGCCGCTACGGCAAGCGTCCAAACTACTGGCACCCCAACCGCTGCTTCGGGGGGCAAGAGATACGCAGAACTTGCTGGCAAAGCCGCTCCAGCAAACCCGGGGGGCCCAGGCGGCGTGTGGACGACTGTAGGCTCGGGCGGTAAGGCCAAGGCCCCGCCTGCCGTCGTTGCAACACCTCAGCCGGTGTCGCGGACAGTATCAGCGAGCAGCGCACCCAAAACGCGGCCCCCTCTCTCCACACCTCGAAGCACCACCTCCACCAACCAGAGCAAAGCCAATGAAGAATTCACCAAGTGGATCAAAGGGTCACTCGGGAAGGGGCTGAACAGCGGGATCAACTGTAAGTATTGATGATTCGGTTGCTGTTGGATCTAAAACTAACATGGTGACAGTGGATAATTTTGTGCAAGATCTGCTGCAACTCCCACCCGATGTCGAAATCATATCAGATAGTGTCTATGCGAGCTCGCAGACCCTTGATGGCCGTCGCTTTGCAGAGGAGTTTGTCCGCCGCCGGAAGCTCGCCGACAAGGGGGTCGTGGAGCCTGCCACTGGCGTTCAACCGATGATGGGTATTGGTGGAAGTGCAGATACCAAGAGTGCGGGCGCTGCGGGTGGCGGATGGAGCGAGGTTGCGAAGAAAGGGCCGGCGAACGCCAGTGCTGCGAAGGAGGAGAGCAATGCGCAGTTCAAGGTTGTTGCCACGAAGAAGAAGGGAAAGAGGTAATGAGCAACGAGACTTGAAGTTGGGGAGGCTATGAACGAAGCTGTGTGGGAGATGACGGGTGGCAGAGAGCATCATGTAGCTGTCTAGTTAACGGTACCTTTGTCCTGAGGAGGTTGATATGTGAGAAATGCGATGATACGATGCCCGTGGCTCACATTCGGCCACGCATGGCTGTTGGAAATGATACAACGAGCATCTGTGGTTCCGGGTTTTTGTCTTTGTCCTTGGGAAGCTGATGGTGAACTTTTTTCCTGAGGAAATTTCGCTGCTTCGAGCAAAAATGGCGACTGTGACTCTTTGAGTGTGGCAGAAGTTGGATTTCATTGCGTTTAGTGACGTTGGTCCTCTGCCTCGTGATGAATTCTACCATCGCAGGCTATTGAGATATCTCATACATGGCAATGCTATGTGCAGGTCAATCAATTATCGGGAATTAAAACTTTGATTGGTCTACCAGTCGCCGTTTCCCAACCCCTTTTCGGATCTCATCATACAAGCAAGAGGGCGCTTGGTGGCCCTTTACATATCTCCGCTGCGTTTTCTATCTGTTCACTGTCTTGCCTTACTACCTACCTACTTCTCTTGTGAGTCTCCGAAAAACGAGACAATCGGCTTCACAGAAAACTAGCCAAGTCGAAGTTTATAGTCTCTACTGATATCTATCTAGGGATGGGGCTCCATCTAATAACCACACTCACTCTTTTTAAAAAAACACATCATTTGGTATCTCAGCTCTTGGAGAACACATCAATCACACTGCGGGGCTTGGTGTACTTGCCAATTGGCACATACTTAATCTGATCAAACCCCATCGACCCAGGTCCTCCCAGTTCCAGACCTCGCGGAGTGTCGGTCCATCGAGGGGACGCGGCGATGGCGATGACAGTCACCTTCAGGCCGTACTTGTAGTCGGGTACACCCAGGCCGGCGCCCGTCTCCAGATCAAGCACGGCGATGAGGTCCGGGACTGCGGCCAAGATGGTGGTCTGACCATCGCCGGTGGTCGCTTCGACAAAGGCGTTTTCGTTTTTGAACGGGATTCTGACCGTGGCTTTAGCCCCGGAGCTGCTCAGCACGCCGTCAATCTCTACCACGCCGTACGAGTGGCCCGTCTTTAGCACGCGTTCGACGCTGGTGATCTTGCCCTGGGCCAGGATTCGGGCACTGGCAGCACCACCCACGGCTTCGATGATGCGCGTTGCACGGTCTGCGACGTTCTTCTCCAGTGCCACAGCCCGCCCGATCCACCAGGCCAACGACACGCTGTGGAGGATGGCCTGCTCTTGAACAACCTTGGCCGTCTTGGGCGGACAGGCCTTTCCAGCCCGACACCCCATCTCGACCACAGCGGCGCGCAGTGCGCTGTCCACTAGGCGATCTGTCCGGCTGGCCGTCATGGTCATGAACGACCCGTCCCCGCTGGCGATGGTCGCAGGCACGAGAGCCTCGCCCTTGGGGGAGCCGTAGACATTGATGGTCGTCTGCCAGTAGGTCGGGTACGCGCGGCCCATGAGGTCGGCGTCGACGCAGGGCACGCCGTGCGCGGCGGCCACCTCGAGGTTGACCAGGCCGTTGCCGCCGCCAATCTCGACGGCCATGAAGCCGTCCATGGGCGGCAGGCCCAGCACTCGCGTCAACTCGTCCTGCGCCTTATTACACTCGTTGGCCTCCATCCGCTCCATGCTCACCTCGGGACTGCCCATGCACCCGGTCCAGCCGACCATGGCGCTCGCGGGGAGGTCCAAGGGCGATACGACCCTGATGCTGCCCGGGGCCGATCGCAGCACCGCCGTGATCTTGAGGAACTGCTGGTACGGGTCGCCGCCGCCGCCGCAGCCGAGGATCTTGCAGCCGCTGGAAATCCACTCGAGATCCGTCATGGAGATGATCCACTCGCGGTTTTCGACCCGGGGTTGGTAGTTTTCGAGGTCAACCACTCCGAGCTCTTCTTCTTCTTTTTGGTCTGTTGATGTATAATCTAGAGATTTGTTGGCGGTGTGTTGGGGCAGTTCTGGCGGCGGGGCGATGTTGGTGGATGATACTCCTTGTTTGGCGTGCTTGACCGTGTCGAGCGTGCCGACTGCTCTGATCAGTATCCGTGCCTTTGCGTCGACGTACTGGATGGGGAGGATGGTGACCTCGGCGATCTCGACGGTCTCACGTCGGGCCCCGTTGGCCACCGCGGCGTCTATCGCCAACCGCGACACCACCTCCTGAGCCTCCTTCAACGTCTGGTGCGACGTGTCGACCACCGTGTCCACGACGCCTGAAACTCTCGAGATAGCCGCCCCAACCGCGTTGGCGACTTCACCGCCCTTGACTTTGCGCACGGCACGGATCCCGGCGAGCGGCTCGTCCGTGTCGATCAGGATGGCGCCTCCGCCGACAATCAAGACGTCCACGTCCCCCTTTTGCACTTTGGTCCGGTCAACTAGCTCTTCGACGATGCGGCGCATCTCTCGCTTCGCCCGCGCGACCGTCTCGGGCGTGACATCTCTCAGACGTGCTGGATCCCCGAGACCCTGTAGGGGATTGTCCCCAGACGGCGCGTGGAGCTCGGACGCTGCCACGATGTCGGTCGCGGTGAGCACGTCTCCGCCAAACAGACGCGCCTTCGTCGGCAGTTCCAGCGCGACGCTGTCTGGACCGACGGTTAGATGGTCCGGGGAGACTCTGATGATGCTGCCGCCGCCGAGCCCGACGCTCTCCACGGCTGGCAAGGCAAAGTTTGTCCGCACGCCGCCCACGAGGCTCATGAGTGAGCTCATCCGGGGCAGCCCGTTGGGGAGGAGAAGGCCGCTGTCCGAGGTCGTCCCGCCAATGTCAATCACCACGAGGGCGTCCTGACGTGCCGCTGATTCCTGGGATTCGTGCGGGTCTGAGCTCGCCGCCGTGGTCCAGAGAAACTCGCCGCCCCGGATCGAGTTGGTGGGACCCGAGTTGAACGTGCGGATGGGCAGGTCGATGGCGTCGGGCGCGTTCAGCACGCTCCCGTCGTTCTGCGTCAGGTACAGCGCACAGGGCGACCCGCGGAAGATGTCCACCATGGCCTTTTGGAAGCCCCAGATGGTCCTCTCGGCGAGCGGTCGAAGGGACGCGTTGAGGATTGCCGCGTTCTCTCGCGCCAGGAATCCCAGCGACGAGATCTGGTGCGACAGCGTCACGCAGGGTCGTGCTGACACACCTGCAGCTGCGACCAGTTCGTGCATCTTCTCCAACAGGATCCGGCCGGCTTGGATCTCATGTGCCGCGTTTGGAGGTGAGTAGATGCCCGAAACGACCACGTTGAAGACGCCGTCCGCGACCAGTTCGCCCGCTACTCTCTCCAGCTCAGCCTCGTCAATGGGCGAGATCTCCGCGCCCGAGATCTGGTGGCCGCCGTGGCAGAAGAAGGGCCGCGTGGCGATCAGTCGACGCAGGTCCGGGGGGAAGTCGGTAAAGGGGGGCACGCCGACGCCGAAGCCATGCTCGGGCCCGCCGCAGAGGCGGACGACGCCGACACGCTGGAGTGACGAAGACCGCTGCACCACGGCGTTGACAAAGTGCGTCGTGCCGATGATGACGCAGCTGATGGTGTCGAGGGCCACATTGCTCGCCTGGATGACGGCCCGGACGGCCTCGGTGATGCCCGTCGTCACATCTGGCGTCGTGGGCGCTTTGTGGGACGCGATGATCTGCGTCGGTGAAAGCGAGATGAGCACGGCGTCGGTGTTGGTGCCGCCCACGTCGACTCCTATCCGATACCTTTGGTATTGCGCGTCGGTGATGCCTATACTCCCCATGGTTCCAATTTTCTCTCGTCCTCCCCTTTTCTCCTTCTCGTGGGGATTTCAAAGGTGATTATACCTTTTTTCCTTGCTTGTTCGTCCTCGAGTCCGGCTCCGTCCAACTGAGTTCTTGGTATCTTCTCTAATAATGCTTGGATATACACTGCTATCCCTTGGCCGATGCCGAGCAGCGAAGCGAAGCGAACGAGCGAACGAACAAACGAGAATAGGAATTTGGCCGACCGATAATGGACGGTGGATATTTCCAGGTCCAGACAAAAGTTCAACTTTGCGCGGGACGGAGTTGAGCGATTGATCAGAAGAGGCAGATTTTTGTCTGTATTATGTACGAGGTATTTGTTCTATATTTCCCTTTATCAATCCAACCAGGTCGGGTGATTCAGTGAGTCAGAGAGTCAGTGAATATGATCAAGATAGGCTGGAAATCCAAAACAACCACATTACCATGTCCTTTTGTCTGGACCTGCTCTTAATGGGCCAACCAATACTGGCCGGGCTATATCAAAAACCAACTGGAAACCTTCGCCGAGGCAAGGTAAACCAAGCCACCGCCGGAAATCCACCCTTTTATTGCGGGCACTTTTCTCACTGGTGGCTCCTGTACGGGCTACGCCAATGGAAAGATGCCCCAGGACATGCCAGGGTCGATCGCCGCAATCAAGGTTGGCCGAAGCGCCCCTTGTATGGTCGGCTAACTTCTGGGACACGCTCGTATCAGGTCAAGACATACTCCCGAGGTCGTTCTACATAATTGACCGATGGATGGTACATACATGAGGTTCCACAAGGCTAAAGTCGACTCCTACCTACCGAGTTATATCCCCCGTCGCCACAGTGCATAATTCTTGACCGAAGCGATGGCGCGCGATCGGTTAACAATTGTGTGGTCCCCACGATATGCACCCTTCTGGATAGAACCGGTGTTCAATTCGCCTCTAGAAACACCCAAACACCACGGCCAACTAAAACTCCATGCACGCGCTCTCCTTACCCAGTACATACATATGCAGGACCATGCGCCTTTGGGATTCCTCTCATGTCATACCATATCAGTGGAGACCAATTTTTTCCCGGAGGAGGAATATCGACATTGAGGATCGCGTGGCGACAGATCGGCCAAGTGAGTAAGTAGCACATGGGACACGCAAAGGTCTAGGCTCATGCGAGGATGAATGAGTTTAGTATCAAAAGAACAGCTAAATACCCTATACCCTACCGAGCCCGTGGATACAAACACACATACCATAATCCTCAGCGGAACATCGAACATCGTTATCCCCACTATCTATTGATACCCAGACCAAAAAGATATCTATGATAAATTGTTAAGACTGTGACGAATAGGTTGAGTATTAGTCACTTACGACGACGACAACGAAAATAAAACACACACACACACACACACACACACACACACGCACACATATAACCACATACACACACCTTGAACACATCCCATCCACCATGGCCATCCAACCGCAAGAACTCGCCATCCCCATCATCGACCTCGAACCAGTCCGCTCGGGCACTCCCGAGGAGGCTCGCGCCACGGGGAAACTGGTCTACCAGGCGTTTCGAGACGTGGGATTTGCCTATATCAAGAACCACGGGGTTCCCCAGGAACTGGTGGATCAGGCTTTTGACTGGGTGAGTCTCTTTTCCCTTTTTCTTACTGCTTGGGTTTGTTTCTGGAAAAAGGACATGCTGGCCAGAACTGACCTGGAGCTCGCCCTGGTCATGATGTATATTTTCTTCTCGTGCTAACCATCTGTCCTCGTGGTGTTCTTTATTTGTCTAGAGCTCCAAATTCTTCGCCCTCTCACAGGCCGACAAGGACAAGGCACCGCACCCGCCTTACGGCTGGTGGCACCGGGGCTACTCGGGGGTCGGGCGGGAAAAGGTGGTGCAGATGGTCTTCGACCAGGACTCGATCGACCAGCTGCGCAAGTGCCCGGACTTCAAGGAGTCGTTCGAGCTGGGCCGCGAGGACGACGAGCGCACGCCCAACATCTGGTTTCCCGACGAGGTGCTGCCCGGCTTCCGGGCCTTCATGACCGGCTACTTCGACACGTGCTACGGCACGGCGCTGAGCCTCCTCCGCGCCATCGCCCTGGGCATGGACCTCCCCGAGGACTTTTTCGAAGGGTACCACACCAAGCGGGACAACCAGCTGCGGCTGCTGCACTACCCGCCCGTCGAGGCGGCGCTGCTGCGCGACGGGGCCATGGAGCGCATCGCCGCGCACTCGGACTTTGGGACCATGACGCTGCTGTTCCAGGACGAGGTCGGCGGGCTGGAGGTCGAGGATGTGCACGTCAAGGGGCAGTTCAACCCGGCGCCGTACATCCCGGGAACCGTCGTCGTCAACATCGGCGACTTCCTCCAACGCTGGAGCAACGACACCCTCAAGTCGACGCTACACCGCGTGCGCGCCCCGCCCATGGCCCGCGACGGCCTCACCCGCGCCCGCTACTCGATCCCGTACTTCGTCACCGCCGACCGCGACCGCACCATCGACTGCATCCCCGGCTGCTACGGCGACGACAGGCCCAAGAAGTACGACCCCATCAACGCCCGCGAGTACATTGAGATGCGGCTGAACGCGACCTACTGAGTTCTGTCCCATTTCAAGATTTTGTGTCTGATGGACCAGACAAGCAAAACTCGGGAGACAGTATCATTGCCCATCATCATGGAAATGTTCTTGTGGACATGGATGATCTCTTCTTTCTATACATATATCTGTTATATACACCCCGAACTGTGCTTTATTTATTACCATTTCTGGTTAGGAAAGGGAGCGTGGCCGCTTCAATCTGGCATGTGATCGAGCATTGGGGAGGCCCAGCTGAGCACGGGGGAGCGATGGCAGAGTACGGGGGAGCCCTGGGCGAGCCATAAGGGGCACTGCCTTGTTGCAAATTCTATTTCGGGCTCCCTGAGCAAATACCTGGGGCCTAGCAGTCGGCTAAACCTGTCTCTCGAGTAGGTTTGTGTTTCCGACAGTCATCAAGGAACTGGTAGATTCCCTGCCCTGACGCTGCTGCCTAAATTTTGCCTAAACTTTGGGCCTGGCGACGTTCCACGGGATGCGACGGTTGGTCGAAGCGCCGAGAAGCTTAAGGTCTCCCTTTCAACAAACCAATGTAGACAAATATCGTCTTCAACCTCGCTGAGCATACAGTAAAGACTTTGAATGGACTACAGATACCGGGACTCGCGTTCTGAATGGACGGCTTATGGCCGACGGGCTCCTCTCGCGAAACTCAGACAGGTCCTCCACCTTCTCGTTCCTCGGCCACCAATTCTGCAGCGTCGCTCAAAGACAAAGCTGAAGGACTCTTGGACTTGAACGAGAACTTGGGTCTCGGAGCGTGAGATCTTCTCGTCTCTTCATACTTCTCTTGCAGAGCCTTAATAGCTCGCACGACGAAGAACGCAACCACTACTATGCCGACACCGACCAAGGCGAAACCATATACTACTACGGCACCGCGCAGGCGTCACCAAGAAAGGTTCCCGCACAATAACGCCCTAGAAAGTCAGACTCGTCAAACAATCCAAGTTGAACAAGAAGTTTACTGCGGGTTTGACTGCAAAGACTGAGGCTATGCTGGGGCGAGGTTGTACCCAAGTCTGTTGACATTTGAGAATGCCGGCTTGGATACGACTGGACGGTTCACGGGATTACGTTGAAGATGAGGAATATACGACTTTTAAGGAGCTCAAGCGCGATACTTTACCCGTCATCGGTGGATTCCGGACCAGGTCTTGATAAAGCGCATTTCAACCCTCCCAGAGCCTTTCCGGCGGCAAGAACAAGGTCGGACGCAAAACTCAAGCGAGTAATGGCAACGCAAAATTGAGAGTATCTCACTACCTACACTGCTGGGGAGATGCCCTTCAAGCTCAAGAACAGCGGACTGGATCGATTTCCAAGGCGTCCGCAGAACCCAATCTTTCCACGACGGCTTATGCGATCCATCGGCCGAGTACCATGCTAGCACCAAAGACGATAGAGACAGAAGCAAATCTACACCTGATGCCTTCTCATGACTCGACGCCATCAGAGATATACCACTCTTTTATCAGCGCTCAGTCCGACCGTTCTAGTGCTGATGAACCGACCGATCCTTTAAAATAAGGTTCACTTGAAGAGAGAGGCATTAATACCCTGTCATACAATGTACCTGAGTCTAAAAGTCTAGCCAAAGTCAAACTTGGTGTAGCAAATACAAGAAAGCCCGGGGCCTAACGATGGTAATGCAGAAGATTTCCGGAGAAGGCTTCACAAAAGTGGAAACGGAGGTGGTGCAATGTAGGCACTGTTGCCTAAGATATTGCCTATTAGAGACCGCTTCTGGGATAGCGACCGCAATGCTATTCTGGTGAAACAGCAATGGGGCCGTCAGACACGTCGGGTGCTGACAGCTGGACGCTAAAACAGAGAATATCTTCAGTGATGCAATCCAATCCCCTATATGCGTCTCTCGGGGAGTCCTCCTCTTCTCCATCACATACGGGGATGAGGAGTTTCAGTCAGGGGTGCAGCATGTTCAATTGCACCATCGCATGAGCGTCCCAGTATTTTTGAATGTCCCGCAGTGCTTCATCATTCGTTGCACTGCTTGTGCTCGAGGCCATATTGTTCATTAGGTTAATTGAATAGGTAGATAATTCGACTCGAGAAGCAAAGCGAGGCTCTGCAAAGCGAAGTTCGACGACAGGGTCATGGGAAGGCGCAAGTTGGGAGATGGCCCTGTGCTCGCCCGCCAATCAACAAGGAGCAGTCCTTTTCCACAGCGACAGTGCGAGGGTGAAAATGAGTGGAATTAACGGAATCAGAATGTGTGAAATGTTTACCGATTCAAACGCCAAAGTTGCTCTTCTGGCGGGAAGGTCAGTCAATATGTGGGACTGTTTTGGCCGAAGTAGGCGAGGTGGCTCCTAAGAGCTAGGTGAGGCACACCACAGGAAAGTTTCAAGCCATTTCCCGGCCCCCTCTTGCCTTTTTCGGTAATCAGGACGAAGACAATTGAAGTTACAAAGCTACAAGAGTCCAAGATTGAGACGTTGACCATCACGCATCACAGCACGCCCTACCATGTTCTGGAGGTGATGCAGATGCGGAGAAGCTCCCGTCCAAAGCAGCCACCACACCTACAAGCACGAAAAAGTTGAAGTAGAGCGTGGGGGTTGGGCAGCCTTACTGGGACTCTATCCGCTGTTTGTGGTGCCAACAAGGCCGGGCTTGCTGGAGAGGCGGCTGTGCAACACATCCCAAGCCATCCGATACGTTGCGTCTCCAGTCACGCGATTGAGGCACTTTTCGACTGCAATGACATGTCATTTTCCACGGGCTGTGCTTTGAACAGGTTGGAAAAATGCTGCATGGAAGGTTTCTGTCTTCATCAACTGTGGCTGCCAGGGTAAGATTGCTTGGACACCGGCCTCGAGCGAATTCTTCAATTTGATTTGGCCATTATTACCTAGCTGAGGCCGTCGTGAGGGCTACATATGCCGCGGCGAGCCGAATTATGGGCAGATTAAACGGTCTTGCTGAAATCCCGTACGAAATCATTTCGATCACGGGTTTACCCGCACCAACAGTGCGCCATGTCTTCACAAACGAGGCTGGATCATACATACCGACAGATGATGAGACATCACCCTTTTGGTTATGCTCTCTATAAGCCTATCCGACAGAGCTCCATGAAGCCTGGAACCTGTGGCTACTTTGACAAGTCCGGCTTCTGGTCCAAACTATTCGATCTAAATGACTCATCCTCCCTCTTGAAACACAGTCTTGGTGACGCGCAGGACACGAATTCAGAGCTTCGAGACAATGGCATAACTTGGGATCCCAAGGTATCTCGTGGAACCTCCAAAATCGACGTCGGACTTGAGGCAGGGGTCAAGTGAGCTCCCATACTCTGACGAACAGGTTCAAGTACCAACATGCCAAAATAGCACGGGACTGCCAGTTGACATCGCGGCCAAATTGAAGGTGGCAACATCAACAGATTTTGGGGCCGTTTTGGTGACGACTCCTAACATCCACCATCACCGCGTCTACCAAGAATCCGATATTCGGCCTTGGTGGTCTCGCAACAAGAGAAAGCTCTTGCAGGCGAATTTCAAGTATGAGGTTGCACGATATGGCCTCTTCATCGTCACCGGCACTTACACCACCACTAACTGCTCCATTACTGCTTGGTCAGACACCTCCAGTGACGTCTATCTTGGATTCGAAGCGGATGTTACTGGGCTCCCAGCGGGGGTTAGAGTGCATGGGGGATGGGTTCTGGGGGGCAGCGCCAGCGGATGGAACCACTATGATGCACCGGTATATTCTGTCTAACTTGACAAAGATCGGAGAAAGCATATCAGTGACTGATTTGACCTCTGGCCTAAGAGTGGTGACAGATACGTAGTCTTTGTGACCGGACTGTGGTTCAAAAAGCACCAGGTATTCTCTCACAAACCCCTGCTCTAATAACTGTGATTCAGTGATCTCACCCCCGCCTAGGTCTTCACCTCGATAAAGACGGACAACAACATGAGAGCGTATGACGAAGACAACCAGGCCGCTGTGGAAGACCAGACTGCCCGGGTTGGCGATCTTGACTTTGTATGCGAACGAGTTGCCGAACGCGACGAGACCAAAGAGGACAAAACTTCGAGGGAGCCATCCAAATGGGCTGTTTTAGTCGGCATCAATGACTACATCAACCCCAAGGATGATACAAGGCCCCCTATCCAGAACCTGAGAGGCTGCGTCGCGGACGTCGATGCAATGTGGACATACTTCAAAGAAACTCTGGGCATGGATGACGAGCACATTTCAATACTCACAGCTCCGTTTCTGGCAAAGGCAAGGAGCAAGTCGCCTACAAAGCAAAACATCGTCGGTGCAATTAAAGAGACGTGTGGCAAAGCGTCGCCGAAGGATCTAGTCTACATCCACTTCTCTGGACACGGAGCTCGCTTGAAGCAGGACGGAGGGACATACGTCCTCGTACCTACGGATGTCAAGGAGAAGACGGGCGGGGTTCTGAAAGCAACCGAACTCAAGGACCTCCTGCGACAGATGCTGGAGAAGGAGCTTATTGTAACCGTTGTTCTCGACTGTTGTCACTCAAGCGGGATCTCGCATGGTGACCGTAGCCACGAGACTTCTCCCCGAGAAGAAGGCGGAGGAGATAATGTTGCAGTTCGCGGTCTTGACGATTTGGAGAGCATACTTTGGGACGGAGAAAATACAGACAGTGAAACCCAGGCCGGCGAGGCTGCGGACTTTGATCACGGCCAGGGACTTGGTGGCAATGATGAGCAGGGTAGGTCTCTGTCGATGGCTGATCACTGGCTTGTCCCGTCTGGCGGAGAATATACAGTGATTGCTGCATGTCGCGAGCTTGAAAAGGCCTATGAGGTGAAATCCGAAAAGGGTAATTGGCAAGGTGTCCTGACGCTCTGCATTGATCGTCTCCTCAGGAATACAGATGCGCTTGTCCACGGCCTGCCGGGTCTCTCGTACTGGCGGCTACAGTGGCACATTGCTGAGGCAGTGCAGCTGCAGCTGGGGGGTTCTCGTCAGCAGAATGTCTTGATAAAAGGTGCCATGGATCGTGCCTTCTTTGGAGATTCGGAACTAGAGGTATTGGATGCGCCTGTGATCATCGAGCTCAACAAGCCCGTTGATCACGGGAACAGGGTGCGGTTGAGTACCTCAAAGTATCTCGGTGCTAGGGTTGGGTCAACGTTTGATATCTACCCCCTGACAACCGTGGGTGCAGGCGAGAAAGGGCAGCCTTTGGACCGCTTGGCTGTCTGCACAATCAAATCGGCAAAGGACCTCAAGGATGGAAATGCCGATGCCATTTGGACCGAAATATCGACCGGCAGTGAAAAGCAGATCATTGTAGGGTGTCCTGCAGTCCCTCAAGATGAGATTTTCGTGCGACTTGTCAAGAAAGCCACAGGGCACTCTGTCGAAGTAGAGGCTGCGGATCATGAAGCAATCCGAGAAGCCTGGAGAAGTTCTACATCCAGGTACGCAAAGCTAGTCAGTGACGACTTTAAGGGGCCTACCTGCGTGCAAGTCGCAGTCGACGAAGAGAAGCCTGAGTATCAAATTTTCGACAGAAAAGGAGAAGTCGTCTCGACACTTGCCTTCCGCCCCCAGGATGAGACAGCGCCGGTGGCTCTCGTCAACCACACCATGCACCTCGCAAGATTCTATTCCGCATTCGAGATGAGCACCAGTTCGCAGGGCAAAGCGCTTGTGAAAATGCGTGTGCTGGGAGAGATCTCGCCCAACGGTGAAGAAAGTACTCAACCTATTCACACAGTAAATCTCAAAGAAGCACCACATGTTCCAGACTATGTCAAGCCGTGGAATGAAATCGAGGCAGACGGCACTATTATATTTCGACCAGGGAACATCATAGCGCTTGCTATTGACAATGTCACAGATGAGACGGTGCATGTCGCCTTGATATGCCTAGACATGTCAAATTGGTCCATCATCCCTGTTCATCCGAAGCCCAGGTCGGGCAACACGGGTCGGCTGGACGTCCCAGTCACACTTAACCCTGGACACCGGGTACTGCTTCCAATCAGGTATGAAACCCCGAAAGGAGCCTCGAAGCAATCAGAGGCACACAAAGAGATGCTCAAAGTCATTGCCGCAACGTCGCCGAGGGACTTCAATGCCCTCCTACTCCCTCCCATCGAGGAAACAGGTCGGGGAGGCAATGGTGAAAGCTCAGAAGGAGGTTTCTGGGGTCTCTTTGAAGATATTTTAGAGCAAGACCGGCCATTGACAGCTGGAAGTTTGCGCAAGACTGTCAAATTTGACATCAAACAACAAGTTGTCAAGGTGGTGCCGGTATCTGATGAGAGTGCAAATGAGAGCGCAAAGGGCATGGATTGGGATGCCGCACTTGGTTATTAGCATTGTTGATGGTGTCACATGTCCGGCCGAGTGCCGCTCAGTCGGCCGCCGAGGGCCACTGCGGCGCACGGACATCTTCTGTGCTGTACGGGGGGCGCGGGGCACCCACGGGGAGTGGCGCTGAGCCGCTGAATCAGCTATAAACGGTGCACCGTCACGTGGGTGACAAAATTCCGTACGCACCTCGAGACCACTCAATCACCCATCAATAACTAATTGATTTTTACTGCTTCTTTTACAGTATAATAACCAGGGAAAATTACTAGGGATACTATAGAGGTATTGACTACTGGTAGGAAAAATTAGAAGCCCATAAAAGGCTCCTTGCGATGGTTGGAGGTTAATTAATTAATGATAATTCTAGGCGTGTGACCGGAGTGCGCACCGAGTTTTGTCACCCGCTGTGGCGTAGGCATACTGTTGAGGTAACCTTCTTGTTCACCCAAGTCTTTGTACTCAAGTGAAAGAGCGATCAATGTTCCTTGACTGACGTTCCGACGTTTCTTTCGTACCTTAACAGACATATGGGCCTTCGTCCTAACTTCTCCCTTGGACAAAGTGCTGCCAGAATCCCGTATCCAATCAACAGACAAAGAGAGCCTTCAGGATTGGGTTCTTGTTTTGCGTAAAGCCCAACTTGAATCAGGGTGAAACCCCGCGGTCGATCATGCAGACACAAACAGAATTGCCGGAACCGTTTCGAACCTTTGTTGCGGCCTCTGAAGTTGCTCCGAGTGACCGCCAACGGTATATCTCCCCTTTACGGGGTTTCTTAGCGACCGAATCTATCGACCATCAGAATCGCTGTGCAGTCCTTGGCCTGATTTGCGAAACAATGGAGTTCAACTTCTCTCGGACCGAGTCGCTTGTTGACGCTAACGCAAGCGTGGAGGCGAGCAGGGACTTGCTCGATTTACTTCAGACAGGGCCAGATGAAGACGTAGAAGCACTGTCCCAGGCTTATCACAATCTTTCAGTCGCACTAAGCAGTAGACGCCAGCTGCCCGAGAACCAGAAACAGGCAAGAGACTTGGATGAGGCCATCACGAAAAGCAGTAAAGCAGTCTCCATCGCAACTCGATGTGGCAGTCCTGAGCTGTCGGAGTACCGGTCGCAGCTGGGCAGGCTTCTGAGAATCCGGTCGGCAAACCAAAGATCAGAAGATTTGGCGCGTACAGACATTCAGGGTGCGGTCTCCGTGTTGAACGACGCTGTCACAGCCGCGAGGACAGCTAATCGCGGGTTAGACTCGGTGTGCAATGCTTATGGATCGGCTCTTCAGGCCAGATACGAACACCTCGGGGACCCAGAGGATCTTAAACAGGCAATCAGAGCCCACGAAGAGGCTGCAAATCATGCAACTGATGGCGATATCAGGGGCGGATGTCTCAGCAATCTAGCAAATGCAAGGCTGCGCCTCTTCGAACACAACGGATCTGTTGATGATATCGAACTGAACAACGCACTCGAGGAAAGCAAGGAGGCAGTCGAGCTCACTTCACAAACCTGCCACGACCGGCCCGGCAGGCTTGTAAATCTCTCAAATGCCCTGCAGATGAAATTTGAGCATGGTGGCAAGGATCGCGACCATTATCTGTTCAGTGCTGTGGAGAAAAGTAGAGATGCAGTAAGTGCGGCGAGAGCTATCCGCCCAGATCGGCTTGACCATGGAGAGTGCCTTGGGAGTCTGGGCTTGACCCTGACTCGACTATTCGAGCGAACGCACTCAGAGCAACACCTGAGCGATGCCATAAAGTCCCTGAGAAAGGCGGTAGGGATCCTATCAAAGATAGGAGAGAACACGAGCAAATATGAGTATTCGCTAGCCTGCTGTCTGAAGATGAGGGGCACATGTCAAGACTTGGACGATGCAATCAAAGCTCTAGAAAAGGCGATCGAACAGACACCAATGGGCCACAAAGACCAACTAGCCTATCTCACCGTCAAGGCCAATGTCTACGGTGCCAAATATTCCATTGAAAACGTATTTGACGATCTAGATGAGATGGTCCGTCTCAGCCAGCTCGTCGTCGACCAAAGCAAGACACAAGACATTGCCCAATTCCGCGGAGCTTATCAGACAAATCTCGCCGTCGCACTCGCAAAGCGCCACCGAGCAAAATCAGACTCCAAAAGCAGCGAAAAAGAAGAAGAAGAAGAAGAAGAAGCTTTCAGTGACCTGGATTTCGCCATTCAAGTGCAAGAAGCGGCTCTTTCGACTGAATTCGCGGCAGAAGACCACCCGATGCGAGCAACGTGCCTTCACAATCTCGGTATGTTCCTCGCAGACCGATATGCAGCCTCGGGGGAGAAAAGGCGTGAGGACCGCATCCGGGCTATTGAGGTGCACATAGAAGCTCTCAATATCGAATCAGCCGACCCATCCCAGCGGATCAAGTCCGGCAGACGAGCAATGCATCTCATCCGGTTCGGCAACCCCAAACTCTCAGCTAAGGTAATGCAGTTGGCCGTGGAGCTGCTCCCGCTTGTCAGCCCCGCAGCTCTGGACTGGGACGACCAGCAGCGTCAGTTGAAAGACTATGCGGGCCTCGCAAGCCGAGCGGCCGTCATGGCACTAGAAGCTAAGTGGCCTGACTACAACGCCCTTCGCTTGTTGGAGATCGGAAGGGGGGTCATGATAACTCTGCAGCTGGGCCTGAGGGCTGATCTCGAGAGCGTTGAAAAAGCCGACAAAAATCTCGCCGCGAGGTTCAAGAAACTCAGGAACGAGCTTAACGCAGCCCCAACTAGCCTACTCCAATCCATTCCCAGCTGGCAGGGGAAAGAGCGTGCAATCGAGAACAGAGAAAATAGACATGAAATTTGGCAAGAGCTGCAAAAAGTGGAGTGTCTGATTCGTGAGCACGACGAGCTCAGGAGCTTCAACGACGCCCTTCCCGAAGAGGAGATGGCGAAACTCCAAAGCCATGAGCACATCGTCGTGTTTAACGTCGATAAAATCAGGAGCGATGCTTTCCTCGTGACTCGTGGCTCCATCCGAGCAATTCTTCTTCCGAATCTCAAGTTGACAGACATAGAGAAATATGCGAAGATGATCAGGGATCTCACTAAAGGCACAGGACGGCCGTTTGTCGTTGCCGGGGAAGCCAATCAATCACAATCGTCCAAAATTGAAGAGATAACTATCGAGAGGATATTGAAATGGCTATGGGACACCGCCGTCCAGAAGATCTTAGCAGAGCTTGGCATCATAAAACCTCTGAGTCCAATAGGGGAAGAGCCATTCGCTGGGGCGAAAGAGCAACCACAGAGGATATGGTGGGTGACCAGCGGCTGGCTCAGCATGCTCCCCATCCACGCGGCAGGCGATTACTCATCGCCTGGCTCAACAACAAACGCCCTCGACATGGTTATATCGTCGTATGCCCCAACTTTGAAATCCCGCAAACATGCTGTCGAAAAGGCGGAGAAACTCTCTGCAGATCCAATAACTCAAGCCCTTCTAGTCTCCGCGAAGGGCGCTTCTGGACTAAAACCCCTTCTTGGAGCCGAGATTGAGGTCGACAGACTGGAGAAGAAGCTCGGTTCCCTGTCCATAAACTGCCTCCTTCCTCCCGCCCCGACAAAGTCAGAAACCATCTTGGCGCTCCAGCAGTGTCAGCTCTGCCATTTCGCCTGCCATGGCTATTCGCATCCATCCAACCCATCCAGCAGCTTGCTGGCGGTATCGGATCAGGCCCGGCTGCCGATGAGGGAGGTGGCTGCGCTCAACCTCAGCTCAGCGCGCCTTGCCTATCTGTCTGCTTGCTTTGTCGCCGACAACCGCGCCGAGGACCTCTTGGACGAGAGCCTGCACCTTGCAGCTGCGTTCTTGCTTGCCGGATTCCCATTTGTTGTCGGGACCTTGTGGCGTATCCAAGATCTAAAATCTGCGATGGTGGCCGATAAATTTTATAGCGCCATTGTAAACGCGGGTGCAACGGCAGGCCTGGATATTGGAAGGAGTGCAGCGGCGTTGAATAGAGCGACGCGTATTCTCAGGAAGGAACTTGGCGGTGGTGCTGATAAGGCTTCTATCTGGGCTCCCTATATTCATCTTGGGGCGTGATTTTGGCGAGGTATATGGATCTTCTGTCAGCCTGCTTTTGCTTTGCCAGGTTCTTTTCTTTCTTTCTGTGCTTTAGCCTCGCTGTTGCATAGCCGCAACATCGATTGTAATACCTTCCTCATGCAGTAGTTCCTTGTAATAGAAATGATTCGGTGTAACGCTCTCTCGCATAGTTAATACTCGGTGAAGCTATTGCAACGTAGCTAAGCTAAAGTGTGCAATTCCCTCGAATAGAAACTGTCAGAGAGGAGAGCCAGTGATCGTTCCTCGCTCTTGGCACATGAGTCGGAAACCTAGCATCCTCAAGCGCGTCCGCCTTGCTGTCCTTGGTTGAAACAGCTCTACAACCACCTGATGAAGATTGTGGCCCAGGATAGTCAGTTGGGAGATTTGTGCTCCTTTCAAAAGACCCGCTAGACCCTCGGGAATCGGGTGATCGCCAAGCCCATCCGCAAGGGTTCGATGGAAAGGATACATAAGCAGACCGGCAATGGCGGCCTGAGTGGATAGGTAGTATACTTCTGGACCGTCGAACCGATATGCGGCACGTATGGTCTGCCCTAGAAGCAGAATATCCGGCTTTATGTAACTAGCCTCCAAGATCGTCAACTCGCGGGGCACTTGGATGAGGGGAGCGCGAAAAACTTGCGTGTTCATGCGAAGTCGGCCATCTTTGACAGGGCAGGTGCCATCAACGGGACGTATACCAGAGGAGAAAAAGGGCGTCAGAGTCTTGAAGACTCAGGGAACATGACTCCTCCGTCCAGCAATACTTCGGCTCCGATATTTGGAACTTGCCCTGGAGCTCCATAGGCTGATACTCGGGGGTGTCTGGTTCGGGTTGATGGGACAGGAAAAATTGAACGCTTTTGAATCTCGCTGAAGAGGCCGAGGACGTTCGCGGGCTGTTCACATATCGCTAGCTGCTGAGACTCAATCAATACTGCTTGCAAGTTGTACATTGCAGGGATTGCCTTTTAGAGGATTGAGCATTCTCTAAGGACGCTGGTACTGCTCGTGCGTTCTCTTGCGATCGATCAAGTCCCTGGGCACAAGGAAGCGATCAATCCTAGGGATGTCCGCCAGGAGAGGAAATATAACGCGGAACCACCACCTGATCTACGTATAAGGGGATTAGATCTTGGCCGCCGTGTGAGCGAAGTCTCGCGCAACGCGTAATCACGTGACCATTTGGATATTCGCATGGACGATCTTGATTCTGGAAGAATCTGTGGATCGTTTCCTATAAGATTGGAACCTAAATAAAAACCTCCCTGGTAGGTAAAGGAACACCGTAAGAGCGGGCCAGAGCCGTGAGGGAGCAGAAGGGAGTGAAGGAGGAAGGACGAAAGAGAGGAAGGGAGTGGAATAGAGCGAACGGGGAGCGAATCGACTAAATAATCGTTAGCGCGGGAGCAAAGCGGCAGGGGACGAGTCAGCGAAAAATTTGTTGGCGACGATTGTGTAGGGATGATACATATATATATATATATTGTTTCAATTTCTTGGCCTTTTCAACGAGGCGGCACTCACTGCCTGTCTGCGAAACGTATTTCTTTGTACTCGGTACAGCACGCAAAAATGGTCGGGAGTAGTTAAAAAAATCTGGTGTCGACGCTGTGGAGGATGGGGCTACAGTGGCGAGCAAAAATCCAAAAAATTGGCAGTTTTGCCGAGGGCACAACAAGAGTTACACCGCCATATGCGCATATGGCGGTGTAGGTCTGCGCACTTTAGAACAGCATAATTTACATAGTAAA